CTCAGTAAGAGATACCAGAAAGCATAAATCCCAGTCTCTAACATTTAAGTAAAAGACTGAAGCCCAAGTCCCTGCTCGCTGCCGTCTCCTCAGCTGCTGTCCCAGCGGAACTGTGCCTGAACAGACCTGGAATGTGATTTAAATTGGGCTTAAATGCTATTTGTAGTTTTAAAGTCTTACATATTGGAAGTTATATTCATGATTTGGTCAGGTTAAAAAAAATAGCTATAATCCTTACTTTTCTACTTATTTACTCTGTGACTTTGGGTAAAATTTTCAATTTAATTGAACTTTACACTCATCATTTGAATAAGAGATAAATGTCTCACTGAGTTCACAGAGGAAAATAGGTGAGGCCTAATAAAAGTCTAATAGCCATTTTATCATTATTAAATGGAAGATCAATAATAATTTAGCTAATAGCATTATTTCTGTTCCTCAAATTTCAATTTTTCTGCTTAATTTATTCTTTGTGTCTTTCACATCATGCATGCCTCCCAATCCACCTATCTTCCTCCCCACCCCAAAATAAAACAAAATAAAATTTAAGAGAAAAAGGAAAATAAGACAAAGGAAGAAGGGGGAAATCTCATCATGGAAGCTGCAGTGATGCAGGGAGTCAGGCTGTGAACCCTTTATCTGTAGATTTTTACATGCAGGCGTTTATCCCAGAGAATCATTGGTCTAGTTTAAGCCCTTGGTCTCTGCTGCACTATCGATGCTGGGCCCTCACCAGGACTCTTCCTGGACATACCCTTGCTTCCCTGTGTCATGGGGATTCTGCATCTCTGGGTTCATCTAGGATGGTCAGCCAACCAGCTCTCGTCTGTCTTCACCACCGGGGTGGGCTCTCCCACTGCTGTGACTGGTTCACCCCTCGCAATGCTTTCCTGTCTTCAGGGTCAGCTCTCCCACAGTGTGCTGCAGCTCACGAGGGCAGGACAGCTCTCCCCATCCATGCTGCCACACGACAGATAAGTTGTGGGAACAACTCTCCCATGCTCATAGCGTCGGGGCTGGCTCACTCACATACAAATATATTTTAAATAAAACGTTCATCTCTATAACTTAGCACAACATTGTCCCTTAATTTTATACTTTTATCATTATCTCAAAGTGAGGACTTTAACTTCAGTCAGTGAAATTTAAAGAACAATGCTTTATACTGGACATTAAGAATATAGCTTTTACAACCTAGCACTGCTCTCAGATTTTAAAGTGAAAAGGGGGGCTTAGGTATGTCAGGCATACAGACAGTTAAAGCATGTTTATGGCAAGTATGTAATCAGCATAGCAACAAGGTATCCTGGGGAAAATTACACTGCATTCAATTCTGCAGTGTGTATGTGAGAAAGAATGTGTCTGAGAGCAGCTCTCACAGGACAAGTTCGAATACAGAACATTCCACCCAAATTTATGTACGTGTGTGTGTGTGTAACCTTCTCGTCCTCTAAGATCAGTAAACTGAAGCCAGAGTCTCAGCGGTCTCAAACACTAAGTAATAGATACAATAAAACCCGATTTTATCATGTTATATATAGGCATTAAAATGCCTGCTGTATCCTGTAAGTATGTATAGTTACTATATGTTGTTAAAGTTTAATGTTTTAGAGGACAGCTCTAACTTCAGGATGCCGTCTTCACTTACTAGAGCGGAGTTGGAGGCTCTGCCCTTGGACTCTGTGCCGTCAGCGCCTTCTGTAGCACCTAAGAGACTCTCCTAATTTATTGCTCACATGTTGGAAGATTTCTCCCAACCCTCAAATTCCTTAGAAAACCAATTGGAACAAAACTATGTCTTACTCATCTCTGTATCTCCAATACTGGCGAACTGCTTGACACATTACAAATGTATAAATGCTCACTGAATGAATTACTAATTAAAATATAAATTGTTGGTGAAATAATCTCATGTATCTACTAAGTCTTAGATAATCATAGTACCAGGGATTTGGAAGTTAAAAATAAGTCTCTTGTTATCATCAAACTTGTGGTCTAGGGGCAGTGAAGGCAGTTACAGCTCGTGCACACAGAGGACAAGCAGCAAATAGTGGTGGGGTCCTCAGTTCAGTTAGTTGGTGGTCATGGGAAGCCTCTCTGAGAAGGCCATGTCTGAGTAGAGTCGTCAGGTAAAGGAGTGATCGCCCTGTCTTATAAAAGAACAGTCCAGTCTGGAAGGTCGGCCACAGAGGAACAGGCCAGCATGGCTGAAGTGTGCTGAGCAAGGAGTGGGATAGGAGATGGGACGGGCGCATTACAAGGCCAGATGACATTTCACCATGATGAAGATGAGTTTATAGCAGTAGAATAATGTGATGTGATCTTTTGAAAGACTCAGTCCTCCAGTTGTTTGAGAGACTGAAGAAGACAAGAATGAAACAGAACACTAGTAGTTTACAGGAGAGATGCTGTGCAGACCAGTGTGGATGGAAGGATCGAAGTGGGGTTGACGAGATTAGGTCAGTGAGGGAAGCACTCACTCCCAGCCTGATGACCTCAGTTTGTTCCTCACAACCCTATAGTGGGAGGAGAGAGCCAGCGCCTGCAGCTGGTCCTCTGACTTGCACACACACGGTGAGTGTGCACAAACAGACACACAGACACCTGTGCACATGCACACACATGCATACAAAACAAATAAGCATAATTTTCAAAAGGAATTGGATGAATTGTAAGCCTGTATCTCTAGCCTGAGCATTCAAATAGTCAAAATGTGGCTGTTAATAAGGAGCACACATGTGCTGGAATAAATGCTGTGAGAAAATTATTCTCATTCTTCTCATCCTAGTTCTGTATTTAGATAGGTGTGTAACCATAAGGAAGTCTTCCTTTATATGGACCTGGATATAAAATGAGGGATTAAAATATTTTCTTCTTATTGTAAAATCCCTTGATTTTATAATTCTATGGAATGAGAAATATTGTATTCTTCCTGCATTTTTATGCAAAGTGTAGCAGGTGGATTCAGCAGCATACAGCTTTCTTGTCTATTCCTACCCATAAGGCACATGCATTTATACAAACTTTTATGGAATAAGTGCTCAAATTAGAATATCATAAGTTTGCATGCAAAGATGTATGCTGACTGTTATAAATTCTTCTTGTTGGCAAAATAAAACAATAAAAACTAATTAACTGTGGAAGTAAAAGACATTTGAATTAAGTGTGTAGAGGATATATTTTTAGTTAAATGTGTAGAGGATGTCTGCTAGTCACTCTTCTCACTTCTAGAAAAAGCAATTTAAGGAATGACTGGGTTATATTGACTTAGAGTTGGAGACAACAGGAACTGGAGGCAACTGGTCGTATTGGTCCACAGTCAGGACGCAAAGCATGACGCGTGCTGATACTCAGCCGACTTTCCCCTTCATATGCAGCCCAGGAGCCTCGGCCAAGAATGGTGCTGCCCACATTTAGCATGGAGCTTCCCACTTCAGTTAATGTAATGAGAATCATCCCTCAGAGGCACGGGCAAAGATTCATCTAATGTAGATAATCTCTCCCAGGTGTGTCTCCTCGGTGAGTCTAGATCCTGTCAGTGACAGTCTGTAGTCACCATTCTGTGTAGTGAAGTCATGAACAGAGAGGGGTCATAATGAGCAAAGTAGCACTGGGAATTGTGGTGAAGATTCAGTGAGACTGGGGGATGTCTGAACAGTGAGACAGCAGTGACGGCAGGGTCAGAGCAGAGAGGACGCTGGGATATAGGCCAGGACCAGCACCGCTGAAGTTTCTGGTAGAGTCAAGAAGGACAAGAGCTAGAGCTCAGGGTTTAATGTCTGTAGAAAATCTTATGCCTGCTAAGCCATTTGAGATGGGAATTGAATCAACATCTGTGTGATGTGTGCACTAACCAAGGTGTGAGATGGGCACCGTCATCAGTAGCCACGGGAATAGAAAAACGAGGTAAGCTGGGGAACTAAAGAACCCGCACAGGACTGAGAGCCGGGAGCCCGCTGTCACTTCAAGTCACCCAAGTTCCTTTTCTCCACATCTGCATTTTTTTTAACCTCTGCAAAGCTGTATTTTAATTTTTAAGTTCTTTGTTTTGAAGTTTTTATGACTGTGGGTATTTTGCCTGCATGTACACAGCAGGCGTGAAGTATGCGCCTTCGCGTTTGCACTCCCTGCCTTCTTTTCCTGTGAAATCCTGAAAGCCGCCAGCTAGAATAGGACGGCAGAAGCAGATAAAGGAAAAAGATATTTGGGCTGCTGTAAAATGAAAATCTATTGTGTGCAAAAGGTACCATTCAGAGAGTGAAAAGACAACTCACAGGAAAAGAAATACTTACAAATCATAAACCCAATAAAGGGTTAATGTTCAGACTGTATGCAGTCTGATCCAAACTGGTCAAAGGAAGTTAGACGTAGTGACACAAGCCCGTGATCCCTCCAGGGGGTAGGGGCCAGGAATTGCCAGTTCAAGTCTAGCCTGGGCTACCCAGTGAAACTGTGTCTCAAAAAGCCATAAAAGAAAGAAAAGACAAAAGGCTTCGGTAAACACTTTTCCAAAGAAGATCTACAAATGAGCTATTAAATACATGAATAATTACTCAATATCACTACTAATAGAGAATATAAATCAAACAGGGTTGACACTGCTTTGTACCAATTAAGATGACCATTTTTTAAAATTGAAAATAATAAATATTGACGAGGAATTGGAGCCCACAGCAATGCTGTTGTGACTATAAACTGATACAGCTCCTGGAGAAAACAGTTCAGTGGTTCATCAACTAAACCGAGCAGAGTTGGCGTGCCTCTGCTGAACGATATTTTTGCGTTCATGCGAAGGTAAATGCTCAGGTGTCCTCTACCTTTGGCCGCTGTGAGCAGTGCTGGTGTGCAGGATCCGTCTGAGTCCCTGCGTCCCACACTGCTGACCGTTGCCGTAGTAACGGTACTTTTTATCCTTAGAGAAAGCATGCATGTTCTTACTGAGAACTAAGAGGTCCTGCTGTCGCGAGAGGTCTTTGTTGACGGTGCTCTTTTGCCTGCAGGATGAGGATGAGCTGGATTCGCACACCATGGTGAAGACGAGCTCAGAAAGCGTGGGCACAATGCGGGCCGCCAGCACGATGAGTGAAGGGGCCCAGACGATGATCGAGCACAGCAGCACCATGTTAGAATCGGACCTGGGGACCATGGTCATAAACAGTGAGGACGAGGAGGAGGAAGACGGAACTATGAAAAGTATGTCTTCTTCTCACCGAATGACGCTTCTCTCGTTCCTACCCACACTGGAACCAGATAAACTCTGTTTCTTCTTAGAAACAGTTATGGAAAATTGTGGTTTTGAACTTATTTGACAGCAAAAGTCTGCCTTAAAAAAACTTTAAAATATATATAATACTATGCACATACGTGTGTGTGTGTGTGTGTGTGTGTGTGTGTATCTTTAACTTAGGCTTATGGGATTCTTTTCTTTTACAAGCTACAAACCCATAATTTGTGAACTATTTTAAGGAGAGCATAGTGTTTCTAACATTTACTTTTCCAATTAAAAAAGAAAACTTAAAAATTTGTTTTAATAAATATAGTACAATATTCTTGTGTGATGTCTAAATTAGCAGTTAAACAACAGAGACGGAAGTGCAAAGTGGAGATGAAACCCTCGGAGGGGTTGTGCACAGGAGATGCCCACAGGGGAAGCTCGGTTCCATACTCTTATGGCTGCTTTTGCTGTGTGAAGCATAGTGCCGGGGTTGCTGCAGGGGCTGAAGTGACTGTTCAGACATTTGCCCTGACGTGTGTTGCTTACAGAATGACAAAGTTGTAAATCCTTTCGTGGACTGCCGCACAGGCCTGACCTGCAGTCAGCAGGCAGTACAGGCACAGTGTTGCCGTGAGAGGGCAATTCTGACCGTCCCATGGCTGTTGGCTGTTCTTACGCTTTCCCTTCTATGGGGTCCTCTGTGGTAGGTTACCTTCCACTGCGTACTTTTGTTTCTAAGTGGTAGAGAGGCAGGGGTGGTCTGACCTTGGTGTGTGAGGAGCTGGTAGGGTGTGCTGTCTTCTGGCTAGGACGGTATTGAGTTAACTTGAGGTGAGAGTTACATCTCAGTGTGTTTAATTCAACTACATTTTATTAGAAGAAATAGAAGATATAGCTAGATATTTTAAGATTTATTTTATCATTTTAGTTTGTATATATATGTGGACCTGAGGGTATGTGTGTACTGTGTGCATGCAGGTGCCTGCAGATCCCCTGGATAGAACTGGCTCTGCGCCTCCTCCATGTGGGTGCTGGGAACTGAACCCATGTCTTCTGCAAAAGCAACAAGTGATCCCAACTGCTGGGCCTCCTCTCCATGCTCAAATCTAGACATTTTTAGCATAGAGAGATTTAAGTTAAAAATTATGGATGTTACCAAAACCAGTGGGCAGGTTGGAAGGGAAGGCTGTGTGAAGACCAGGCCTCAGGAGTGAGTCTGATAGAGCTGCTCCTGCTGTCCCTAACTCAGGGCTGCTGTTGGCACTGCGATGTTGAGGCCTGGGGGTGTTTGATGTAGTGTGAGTTCACTCAAGATCATTGGACAGTGTATCTTGGTTGTGTGGTATCTCTTTTACTACCACAAAGCACAAGCTAAACACAGAAATGCTGATCTTCCTTGGATAAATGAGTATGTGCTGAAGTCTCCAAAGAAAGACTTCCATGGACACACAGTTATGTTTGTTACTCTGTTCCTTTTGTTTAACTGAAAGCTCTGGCTTCAGTTTGTCTGTTTCCTCCTATTGTGCCTTCATGGGAGATGGCCAAGTGCCTTCGTGCACACCCTGGTCCTTCTTGACTGTTCCCAGACCCTCCGCTGGACGCTGGGTTCTGCTGACCTCCAAGCAGCTGTTCTTTCTGAACTTCTCACCTTCCCTGAGAAGGTAGACTTCTTACCTTCCCGGAAGGTAGACTCCGGACCTTCCCTGGGTTTTCTGTCCTCTTGTATTTTAAAATACACTGTGATAAAGCTATGGGAAGCTGGTCCTAGTAGCTTGTATCCCATCCTGATTTTTCATGTGTTTACTATATTCTTGGCAAATACTAATCAGATAGAGCACTCATTTTAAAATACTTGCAGTAGTACAAATGAGGTGATTCCATGAGCACATTTGACATTGACATAGACTGTGCTACATCTGTGAGTTGTTACTTTGTTTCTTCACTTGAGTATCTTTTTCATACCATTCTAAGAAATTAAAAAATCAAGTAAACTGCATTTAAATTATTTTTAAATTTCACATATTTATCTTTTCATGAAGGTTTGTTTTCTTAGAAGACATATGCAAACTAGGAATAGTAATGATTATGATGGGTTAACATATTTTGCAAAATTATATTCCACATAATTTAGTATCCTTGTAAATGTTTAAAGGAATGAATGAGATAGAAAACAGCTCTTTCTTTAAAGTTTCATAGGGCACAGAGGGAAATGAGTGGTGGTTATTTTTGCCTTTGTTGCTAATGGGGTTTTGGTTATATAAGCAAGTAAGTTGAAAGAATTGGGCCAAAATTCAGGAACTAAGTAATCTTAAATATCAAGTTTATTATTATAATAAAATGTATTTTAATAAGCTGGGGTCAGAATTTAACTGCAGCTGGAGAAATTGATGTCAGCTTTTTGTGGTTACCCTTTCAGTGCTGTAAGAAAGTCTTTGCCATAGCAACCACAATCACATATGACTGCCTCCCTCATCTGCACTGCAGGGCCCCAGAGTTCTCGTGTCCACTCCTCTCTCTCAACAGCAAGTGAGGAACATCATCTTCTCTCTTCCCTGGAGACTCAGCTGCACACTGTGCCATGTGTTTCAAATTGTACAGTAAAACATTAACTAGGCAGTTGCAGCTGCCCCTCCCATTAACTTCAGAACAAACCCAATCTATTTTCCTCTTTAGAACGAAAAAGAAACTTGAATATTTTTTTTGTGTGTCACAAAGGCACAGTCTAAAGGCCAATAGTGAGTTTGAAGTGAGAATAGAAAATATTTAGATATGTAAGCACTTGCATCTGAATGGAAATCTGATTGTGAAGTCATCCAAAAAGAAATATCTAATGGAGCAGAGAGCAGACTGCGTTCTTTTGTTTGAGTTGTTTTTTAGATTTGTTAACTCTGTATGAATGCTAATTTCTGTCTTAGTGGGTTATTGTCCAGATTTTTAGTAGAAATAGGTGGTATTATTTATTGAATATGTGTGTTAAATGTCCTTTAAGTTTTTGTCTGTACCATCTATATTTTAAAAGAATTATTCTTGTTGTAAGTGTTTGGTTTTGCTCACATGTATGTATGTGCGTTGTGTGTGCCTGCTGTGTGAGGAGGCCAGGAGACAGCTCTGGAGACTCTAAAACTTGAGATACTGATGGCTATGACACCACGTAAGTGCTGAGTCTTGGTAAGATCAGCCATCTCTCTAGCCCCGTGGCCCCTATTTGTTATGTCATTCTTTTTTGTATAATTTTTTATTGATATTTATTGAACTCTACATTTTTCTCTGCTCCCCTCCCTGCCTCTCCTCTTTCCCCTCAATCTTCCCCCGAGGTCCCCATGCTCCCAATTTACTCAGGAGATCTTGTCTTTTTCTACTTCCCATGTAGATTAGATCCATGTATGTCTCTTTTAGTGTCCTCATTGTTGTCTAAGTTCTCTGGGATTGTGGTTTGTAGGCTGTCTTTCTTTACTTTATGTTTAAAAACCACCTATGAGTAAGTACATGTGATAATTGTCTTTCTGTGTCTGGGTTGCCTCACTCAAAATAATGTTTTCTAGCTCCATCCATTTTCCTGCAGAATTCAAGATGTCGTTATTTTTTTCTGCTGGGTAGTACTCCATTGTGTAAATGTACCACATTTTCCTTATCCATTCTTCAGTCGAGGGGCATTTACGTTGTTTCCAGGTTCTGGCTATGACAAACAAAGCTGTTATGAACGTAGTTGAGCACATGTCCTTGTGGCACAATTGAGCATCCTTTGGATATACACCCAAAGGTGGTATTACTGGGTCTTGAGGAAGGTTGTTTTCTAATTTTCTGAGAAATCGCCACACTGACATCCAAAGGGGCTGTACCAGCTTGCATTCCCACCAGCAATGCAGAAGTGTTTCCTTTTCCCCACAACCTTTCCAGCATAAGTTGTCATCAGTGTTTTTGATTTTGGCCGTTCTTACAGATGCAAGATGGAATCTCAGAGTTGTTTTGATTTGCACTTCTCTGATGACTAAGGATGTTGGACATTTCTTTAAGTGTCTTTCAGCCATTTTAGATTCCTCTGTTGAGAGATCTCTGTTTAGATCTGTACTCCATTTTTTTATTGAATTATATGATCTTTTGGTGTCCAATTTCTTGTTCTTTGTTTATTTTGGAGATCAGATCTCTGTCTGATGTGGGGTTAGGGAAAATCTTTTCCCATTCTGTAGGCTGTCCTTTTGTCTTGTTGACTGTGTCCTTTGCTTTTGGAAACTTTTAGGTTTCAGGAGGTCCCATTTATTAATTGTTTCTCTCGGTGTCTGTGCTGCTGGGGTTATATTTAGGAAGTGGTTCCCTGTGCCAATGCGTTCAAATGTACTTTCCACTTTTTCTTCTATAAGGTTCAGTGTGGCTGGCTTTATGTTAAGGTCTTTGATCCATTTGGACTTGAGTATTGTGCATGGTGATAGATATGGGTCTATTTTCATTCTTCTACATGTTGATATCCATTTATGCCAGCACCACTTGTTAAATATGCTTTCTTTTTTCCATTTGATATTTTTTGCTTCTTTATCAAAGATCAGGTGTTCGAAGATGTGTGAATTGATATTTGGGTCTTCTATTCAGTTCCATTGGTCCTCCTGTCTGTTCTTATGCCAATACCAGGCTGTTTTCAGTACTGTAGCTCTGTAGTAGAGTTTGAAGTCAGGGATTGTGATGCCTTCAGAAGTTCTTTAATTGTACAGGATTGTTTTGGCTATCCTGGGTTTTTTGCTTTTTTCAAACTAAGTTGAGTACCGTTCTTTCGAGGTCTGTGAAGAGTTTTGCTGGGATTTTGATGGGCTTTGCATTGAATCTGTAGATTGCTTTTGGTAAGATTGCCATTCTTGCTATGTTAATTCTGCCTACCCAAGACCATGGGAAATCTTTCTGCTTTCTGGTGTCTTCTTCAATTTTTTTCTTCAAAGATTTAAAGTTTTTGTCATACAAGTCTTCCACTTGTTTGGTTAGAGTTCCTCCA